ATTCGTAGCACCCTAGCTAGTCCGGCGCGATCCAAGGAGAAGCAGCGTTGCGCCCCAGCAGCTCACGCTGAAGACGCCCATGTACCAAGCGCGTCGTGCACGCGGAGGCGGCAACTTGCTCGTCTCTCGCCTCACTTTTCCCGTCGCCTGGCGAGCTAGGTTGGGTGGCCCCGAACTTGATACTTTTAAGTAAAAAAAATTCTTTGAGACGGTTATATTTGGTCATGGTTATTCCACATGCTTTGCGCAATTTGTAAGTCTTCGTGCTTTAATTCTATATATGTTAGATTTGATTAGCCTTGTTCAGTTTGATTTCAATTGAGCAATAGCTCTTCTTCTTAACTAATGGATGAGGCTAATCTTTTGCCTCTGTTTCGGGAAACAAAATTGCCGGGAAGAGAACACTCGTGCCACTATGCTGTGGAATGCCCCGGTCTCTTTTAGGCCAAAACTTTGGTTATTCGACTTTGCCTTACAATATACTCGATCAAGCATGGCATTACGCTTTCATGTACTAAAACGGTAAAACACTACTCCTGAACCACCACCGCAACAAAGCTTGATTAAAACAGACCAAACTATGCAGAAGGATAGACTCGTGGACAATAACCTTGCTGCTGCGAAGATATGAAGAAAATTGCAGTGTGTGTGGCTCACCTTGCTGTTGTAGCCTATAGGTTGGCATTGCTCAGGCATGGAGGGGGCATCGTTGTTCTCCGGTCACAAGCACCGATGGGAGATGCGGTGTTGTTTGAGTTTGAAGGAAGTACATGGAACAAACAGGTACAAAACTAAAGCAAGACAGTTCACTTAATTAACACCCTACATTGCTTAAGTTGCCCAGAGTCGAAAACCACTCAAGATCTAGGAAGTCTGAATAGGATCACTGCCATAATCGGGTTTAGTGCTTATGACATGGAAAAGTGGAGGTGAAGAATTCAAAACTTAGTTCGAATCACCGGTATCACTGCCATAATCGGGTTTAGTGCCTGCGACATGGAAAAGTGGAGGTGAAGAATTCAAAACTCCACCTAGGTTTGGAACGGCAATGGACTTGGAGAAACAAGTCTAGCGGGTGTGGCGAAGCCTGATCATGGCATCTTCTCTCGTTATTTTCCCTGAACAATTGAACAAAGGAGGACCATCGCAGCAACCTCGAATTAAAGGTATGGAAAATACATAATTTAATACCTTTACAGCACAATTAGAAAAATATTTTGTTAATATATAGGTAGTATGCTAACATATTGAACTGGAGAATTATTTTAAAGGGAAACCCTCCTCTAATAATCCTCTTGTGTTAGAATTGCAAGCAAAAGATTCAACCCTTTGTATACATGAAAGCCAAACTAGTGGCAGCATGAGTTACTAAAGCCACAGATTCAAGGAAACTAAAATAATAACAATATGTTGAGAGTACTAATCTATCATTAATTTGCAACATTGTAATGGTACCTAGAATTTAAATGTAACAAGGCGGGGTAATTTTCTTTTTCTTTTGTCTTTACTACTATTAATGATAACTACCGAGATAGAACGCAAAGTTTCCAAGATGGGTTCTCAGGTGTGGGAAGAAAACTCACCAATTATTTAGATCTTGCAACCTAATGACATAATACAATGAAATAAAATATTAATCTTTTGAGTTAAAAGAAAATCATAATTCAGATGTCCAGGAAACTAATAGGCAAATGTCCAACAATAATTTGGCAAAACCAAAGTCCACCTTGAAATTCCTTGGTGTCTACATAATAACGGGGCAAATGCACATCAAGGAAAGTAAAGGTTGGTCATTAAAGGAAATGAAATGCTTGAACAATGGAAATTATCTAAAGCTTCAGTATCTCAGTATGCAAAAATTCTAGAGATAATTAGTCACTACAAATTATCAGATACGTGATTGTTCACATATCCAAATAACATAAAGTCATATATTAGACTACCAGATTAATATGATATGGCTTCTTTAGAAGAAACAACGGGTGCAATGGTGTACTTGTTGCTGATGCAAAGCTATGCAAATCAAAATGGAGAACCAATTGGATGAAAACATGGATTTCTAAATTAACTCATCAGAAAATAAAACATGTCCGACGCAAAAAATAAAATATTAAAAGAAATAACCTATATGTAATAGAAATTACCTTCATGTAGCAACATCTTGAGTTCCTTTCACTACCTTTCTCAATGTGTAAGGAGTTTGTGCTTATATAACTCCAAACTGAAACAAAACAAAGAAATTAACGTTTGAGTTTTCTAAAATGTAGGACAGTGAACCAACCTCGTAATTGAAGACTAGATACCTGACTCTCTGTTTGATCTTACAACCCACCAATTGAAGCCGACTTTATTCTCTACCATATGGATCTCACATGCTTACATATGAAGCACCGAACTTCCCAAAAGTCGCTTATTACACAAATACAGCCTAATTATGTGATCAATTAGAAAGGAAAACCATCTAAAGATCACCACTAATAGGAAAAAGGCTAGATAGCTTGAGAACATTACTCTTCCTACAACTAACATGACCAAATTACAATAAGAAACCTTTAAAGAGATGACATATGCAACTATGGTTAGCATGTCTTCCAACAAACTGCATAATGCCTTTTGACAGTTCCCTTCATGATCACCATGTTTGTAACCGTAATAGTTATTAGATATTATAAAAGGTTGTTAAATTTGTGTAAGGAAAATAAAGTGTTAAAGTTGTACTTGAGATGTAAAACGTAGTGCAGGTGTGAACTAACATATACACACCCTACGTCCCCAAATAGATTGAGTATAAGTTCAGTTAAAAAATCAACTATTTCTAACTTTACAAGAAATATAAACAACTACAATATTTTAATAAATACTACATTATGACAATATATGTAATGGTGGATTTGACACGCTTTATCCATATCTACGGTGAAAACAAAATAGCAACCACAACAATATGTAGAGGTCAGTAACAATAGTAAAAGTCACATATCATGCACAAAACACAAGCACTAGTACTTGCATTCGTAATGCTATGTCGTAGGATCAACAAACAGAGGTAGTGCAGGGATTCTATAGTTACGGATATTTTCCTACTGGCTGCCCTGCTAATCCCTTCACTAACTTTCCACTAATCTCTCCTAAATTTCCCCGTGGACATCTTCCTCCGACCAGATGTTGTCACCTCCTTATGTAAGTTTAATTCTGCAAGATCGGTCCATAGATGTAGCACAACTCAGGTGAGTGCATGCGATAGGATCAGAGATGATTGAATCCTATATCGGTACAACACCATGACGACGACGTGGACCTGTCGTGGCCGAGGAGACCGGGAGTGTTGAGGGGTGCTAGATCTGGCCAGGAATTAGCTAGGTATGGTGGTGAGCGGGCAAAATAACCATGGGAAGCTGGACCAACGACGGCTCAAATGGGTCGCGCCTTAGGCATCTCCAACGCTGACCTTTTCTAACCAACTAACTCAGAGATGGTCTTACAAACGTAGCCCATGAAGGATAGATACCGTCAATCAGATATTAACCCATATTGTATTCATGCCCATTGACAGTGTACGTAGTTGTAAGGAGGAGTTTTTGCTTCAGTCAGCCAAACAAACAATGGAGACCGCTGCAACACATTTATGTCATTGTGAGACCAGGACATGCCAAATAAAGCGTGTCAAATCCAAAGATCTTGAGATGCAACTGCTTCAAGAATAATGGTGAGCTTCTTAACATGATCTTAATATTGTCCTTGTAGAACTTATGGCTAGTTCTTCCATCTCCAATGCATGCAGTTAAGAGATCCGGGCAAACCTAGCCACCCACTTACTACGGACATTGCCAAGAGCCTCTCGGTGTCCGCGACAGTTGGTTATCTCAAGTACTGAGGTCCCAACACCAAGACCAGGAAGTAGCAAATCCGACCATGGCGTCTCCGCATGTGCTTTCGGACATCCGGAGGTATTCGTCCCACGAATCTGCAGTCATGCCATATGCAGGCATCCACAATGCAGCTATGCACTTCTGATAACCAGAGAATCCAATACTTCCAACGTCATCCTTGTTCAAGATGAAGTAGTTATGAAATGACCGAACGTCATGGTAGAGGCGATCAAAGACATTTTTTCGCATTCGAAAGCGCCAGCGAAGATTGTCAGGGAATAGGGCATCGGGGCAAACTAGTCATCCATCATCATCAAATGGCCCCGTGCCCTATTCCGATTGAGCACTAGATGACCCTTGATCGATCCCTTAAAATGAGTACATGCTCTTTCGCTTGCTCCGCGTCTACAAGGACCGCCGCATAGTTATCGTTTCATCCGTGTAATCCTCCTTGTGGGACGACACAATGTAGTGCTCGTATAGGCACTCCATATCCGAATTCATTGTTTCATAGGAGGGACAAGTAATTTAGCAAGGGCATTTCACCAAACACTTGCCGGACTTGGTGGCTACTGTAGAGAGAATGGTACATGCGCGGTGATGGATGAATGAGATGTAGTGCTGGGCCACGCGAAGACACGTGCCATGCATGCCTTGGTGATCAGGTTGTAGTGCTGGGCCACGCGAAGAGTTTGGCCGAACGTTGTGCACTTGTGCTCGTGCCGAACGTATGCGTGCGTATAGCTAGCGGGAATCGTATCAAGCAGGTGTGGTTTGCCCGTGCGTGTGTGCATGCATGTTTCCCTCCTTGAAGGCTTTGTAACCTGCCCTGGTTGATTGATGGAAAAATGGACAAGATCTGTCCAAGAGGCGTCAGCCGATCCAGCACCAAAATACTTGCGTATGTGTCCATCAAGGTCGGACGTTGTGACGTACATGCACACACGCCGGTCATCGCCCTCCGTCGTGCATGCTCATGTAGTGGTTCAAAAGCGAGAGGCACAGAGGCCCGCCACCTTGCTTAGAGGCGAGGCTATCTTCCTCTGTCTATAAATTAAACGAAAATACACCAGCTTCGTACTAGTGCACTCAGTCCCTACCATCCTTGTCGACCCGGCGCCGGAGAGTAAGATGACGATGATGGCCTACGGAGGATGGGGAAGCAGCAGCACGGCGCCGCCGCCGCTCACGCTGAAGCTCCAGGTGAACACCCGCACCAACCGCGTGGTCTGCGCCGAGGCCGAGAAGGACATGGCGGACTTGCTCTTCTCCTTCGGCAACATCCCCCTCGGCGCAGCCGGCAGGCTGCTTGGCAGGGGCTCCATGGGGAGCTTCGGCAACTTGTCCCAGAGCCTCGGGGGGCTCCACGCCTCCTACATCATCGACCAAGACGCCAGGGACGCCCTGCTCGCGCCCACGGGCCGCGGCCTTCTCCTGCTTGCCGGCGGCGGGTCGTCGTCGTCGTCGTCTGGCGGGTTCGTGCGGGGGGCCGTGACCTACACGGTCATGGACGACCTCACGGTCACCCCCATGTCCGTCATCTCTTTGGCCACCATCCTCAAAAACAACAAAATCAAGGACATCGGCCACCTCGAGGAAAGGCCTGTCCTGGTGGGACCCACTGAGGTAACGAGGATGAAACTACTATGGCTACTATCATGTCAAAAAAAATTATGGCTACTGCTGCTGCTGCTGTTGTTGTTAGTACAAATCCAATTTTGACCGAGCTGAGTTACTGGATATTATATGATGTTTTCTAGGCTCTGGAGTTACTGAAGGCGTCACTGCAGTCCAACACCGTACTCACCGACGTCTTCCTTAGGAGGGCCTGAAGCGCAACCTTGAGAGTGAAGAATCCATCCTTGCGATCGCCACCAGAATTCCTTGCCGTGTCGTTGAGGTGTGTGCATGCGCGCGTGCGCGCGTAGCCTTTGGTCATATGGCGTGTGTTTGTGTTAGCTACATGTGCCCGTGAAATCTGTGTTTGCTACTTGAATGAATAAAGTCAAGGAATTATCATAAAGGTGTCTATTTCATTAGTTGCATGGATTTTCTTTAATTTTAAAGTCGCATTTGTAATATCTTGGAACGGTGCTCAAGACTATCCTCCTCTCCTGGCCACTTCATATGTTAATGAAAATCAAATGATTTCAGAACATGAAGCAATGTGATTAAATCACCACTATTTCGCAGTTTTTGGTGGTCAAAATTTACAAATATATTAGACGGCTGAGAACTAGCGACTTCCACGTTATCGGCCTGCTCCGCAAAAATGATGCTATATATATCCATGCTCTTGTCAATGTGTTGTCGATCCGACGGACCTACCCCCACGTTGCCTCATTTCCCCTCGCAAAAACTTATAATACTATAAACAAGTTAGCCGCAAACCAACATGTAGTTTGATGGTTAGAAGAACAATAGTATCCCAGCGTATAAGGTACAAGTTCTAGACTTGACACTGATGCACGCATTTTCTTGAATATATTTTAGGTCCTCCAATTATGCGGTTGGAGATGTTCCCGTCGACTAAAGAGGTGTCTGTCGCGACTTCGTCAATCTGAAGATGATGTGTCGGCTCAATCTCTCAGAGGTACTCATATGGGTAGGGTGTGTATGCGTGTGTTCATAGGGGTGAGAGTATAAATTTCTACATCTGTACTAAAAATTATCAGAGGACTTTTGTTGACGGTCGGTAAGTGCTATAGAAACACATTCACATGCGGCTAGTGTAGGCGTAGGTGCCCTTATTGATCAACAAATGTGTTGTGTCCTCTGTTGAAAAAGATGCCACGGCTAGGCGGCGACCAAATCCCTCACCTAGGCGAAGATCTTCCAAATTCATGAGCTTACACATTTGTGTAAAAAATAAGTAATATTTTTGAGTTCACGGACATTTTTAAGTTTGTGAACTTTTTTTAAATTCGAAAACGTTTTTCAAATTCGTAAACATGTTTCGAATGTGCCTACATTTTTTTTCATTTTGTGGGCATTTTTAAATTAATTAATACCGACCGAAAGAAAATATCCTTATCTTGTTCCCACTTACACATCTCAGTCCTACTTTTCTTTTTAGAATCAGTCCCATTTTTTTTTAACAGAACACAGTTTCAGCACATATTGTTTATTTCTCTAGAACAGGACCGACCGAGCAGTGGAACGGTGGATGCGAACGGGGCCAACTAATGGGCTAGACGTGAGCGACGCCCAGTCGCGTTTTGTTTTGTTCTTTGTGCCATAGCAGGCCCGGCCAGTGAGTTTTAAAAACAAAGTCCAATCTATCATAATGTGGGCTGCTATCTGCCGCGATACAGATGGTTCATATCTGGGTTCTTCTGTTTTGCTCATACATGGACTCATCAACCCTCCTACGCTTGAAGCTTTGGCATGTAGGGAAGCTCTTTCCCTGGCACAAGACCTTGCGATGCAACATATTCAGGTGGCTTTCAATTGCAAGCGGGTTGTCAATCACATTCATCAGCAGGCTGGAGGGAATTATGGTTTACCTTTTGCAATTTTGGGGTTTGAACCTCGAGCTTCAAATTCCGAAGCTGATAACATAGCTAGATATGGTGTTCTTCTTCCTCATGGAAGGCATCTGTGGTTGGGATCACCTTATGACCCAACAATTATCCATGTAAACATTATTCTTGATCAATAAAGACTAGCTATGTTTTGCTATAAAAAAAAGCAGGCCACGCGTTGCTGAAGACTGAAGCGGAGTTCTTCGAGACAAAAAAAGGGACCCTCCAGCCTATTCCATTTGATACATCCGAAGCAGTTGCTGCAACTTACCGAATGCTATCGGAACCTCTGAACCATACCCACTCTGTAAGTTTCTTGAAGTGTCAAAAATGTCTTTTTTTTTGCATATAGTGGTTGTGTGCATCAATTGATTTTAGAGGCTAGGAATTGATCCCCTTTTCAGAAAACAAACAAATGGTACTTAGGATAGTCACAACGAATACAAGCACCCAGATCCAGATTTGGGCGTTGTCACTACCAACAGCAAAGAGTGAGCCTGAGCTACCCATCTCTACACGCTGCCCAGACGACCAAGAGGCATAGCTACAACCGCCGTCATGATGCCCGACAGAGAGCCAACCATGCAGTCCGCCATCCGCGGTTGTCGGCCCATGATGCGGCTTGAAACTGTGTCGGTATTTTCCTAAAGAGGAAGGGATGATGCAGTACAATTACGGTAGGTATTCCCCTTAGTTATGAAACCAAGGTATCAATCCAGTAGGAGGTCAGACCAAGCTATGTAAACGGTACCTGCACCCAAAGAACAAATACTTGCAACCCAACGCGTAAGAGGGGTTGCATATCCCTCCTCGAACAAACGATAGATTGGTTTGTATGATTTTGGATAAATAGATCTCGCAATAATACAAAATAAAATAAAGAAAGAAAAAGTGCAGGAAGGTATTTTTTGGTTTTTGGAATAATAGATCTGAAAATAAAAGCGAACAAAAATAGATAGAAAAGCAATATGATAAAAGATAGTCCTATGGGCCGTAGATTTCACTAGTGGCTTCTCTCGAGAAAATAGCATACGATGGGTAAACAAATTATTGGTGCGCAATTGATAGAAGATCAAATAATTATGACGATATCCAGGCAATGATCATTGTATAGGCATCATGTCCAAGATTAGTAGACTGAAACGATTCTGCATCTACTACTATGACTTCACACATCGACCGCTATCCAACATGCATATAGTGTATTAAGTTCATGAGAAATGGAGTAATGCAATAAGAACGGTGACATGATGTAGACAAGATCTATTCATGTAGGAATAGACCCCATCTTGTTATCCTTAATAACAACGATACATACGTGTCTTGCTGCCCCTTTTGTCACTAGGAAAGGACACCGTAAGATCGAATCCATCACAAAGCACCTTTTGCCATGGCAAGAAAAATCGATCTAGTTGGCCTAACTAAACCAAATATTCGAAGAAGAAATACGAGCTATAAGTAATCATGCATATAAAAGATCGAAAAAACTCAAATAACTTTCGTGGATATAAATATGATCATAAATTCAAACTTCATCGGATCCCAATAAACACACCGCAAAAAATCATTACATCAAATAGATAGCATGAAACAATCAAAATTATAAATATGTTGGAGACGTATTAGCCCGGCATCCATGTCCCAAGATATCGTTAACCGTCCATATCACAATGCACTTACCCCGATAGGAAGAGCAGAAGGCACCCCTTGCACTCCTGGCCCAACATCAGCCACCGGGTTCAAGTCAATGCCTCCACCATACGAGGCGCTCAAGCCTGGGTCCCCAGCTAGTCTCATTGGACGCAAAGGTGAGGGCAGGGGGGAGGGGAGGGCACAACCCAATGGGTGCCGATGCCGTCGTCGAGCAAGCCCCAGCCCAGGCCATCTGATCTTGGCCTATGTGAGCTCGAAAGCTGCCACATCTGTGGTCATAAGTACCGATCCACCAACAGTACACAAACACTAAGGGAGCCAGACTCGGACCAACGCTACTAACGAGCAGCAGGCCAGGATATACAAATGTATATAAAAAATGTTTTGAATGTATATGAAAAATGTACAAATATGTATGATTTTTTTATCAAATCTTTTAAAAATGTTCCTTATCAAATCTTTTATGTAGACTTCAAAACATATATTTGAGAAAAATGTTAATCCTATACTTCCAAAATGTTAAAAGAGTATAAAAATGTTTCCTATTTATACAAAAAATGTACAATCCATATGAAATAAAGTAGACATCAAAACATATATCTGAAAAAAATGTTAAAAATGTATTTGAAAAATGCTAAACATGTATAAGAAAAATGTTTCTTAAGTGTACCAAAATTGTACAATCTATTTAAACAAAAAAAGACATCCAAAGGTATATCTGATAAAAAAATTGTCTTCCAAAATTTTTAAATAAGATTAAAAGAATATTTCTACTGTATACAAAAATGTACAATTTATATGAAAAAAGTAGACCCCAAAACATATATATTTAAAAAATACTAAGCATATATATATTAAAATTGAAAATGTACAATGTGTAAGAAAAGGTACAAAACCAAGGAAACCCAGAAAGAAACAAAGAAAACTGACAGAAAAAAGAGAAACCGATCCAAAACAGTGCACATAATGAAAAAAAATGCCGAAGAAAACCATAAAAATAAACAAATAAACCGAATTGAAACGGCAGAAAATAAAATTCAAAGAAACCAATGCAAAACAGTGACACAATGAGAAACCTATAAAAATGAATAAAGAAACCTTAAGAGAACCATAGGAAGAGAACCATAGGGAAAAAAAAGAGATGAAAGAACCCAAAAAGGGAAGCAAAACAATGAATGTGAAAGAATGGTGCTACATTATGGGACGAGACAGTACCGTAGCGTCCCAAAATTCCCTGAGGCGAGAGAATCTTATATCTCGCTATAAGCTAGCCCTAAAAAAGACTAGATATTGATCTTGCGGTCCGCATAGATTTTTTTTTCAATTTTTACCTTTATTTTGTTTCTTCTTGATTCATTTTTCCATTTACTACGATATTATTTTAAATTTTCTTTTTTCCTTTTTGTTTCTTGTTTTTCTTTTATCGGTTCTCTTTTGTTCATCGTCCATTTAACAAAGTGCCATAGTATATTTTTCAAAAGTATTTGTCATATACTTAATGTATTTCATAAAATTTTATATTGTAGTTAAAAATATACATCTTATATTTCAATTATTCATTGTAACCCTGCAAAAAAATGTTCATTGTGTTTTAAAATAAGTGTGTCTTGTTTTTTAATAGTTGTTCATCTTGTATTAAAATATGTTCATATTGTATTTCAAAAATATTGACCTTGTATTAGAAATATGCATCACATATTAGAAATTACTCAGTGTGTACTAAAAAAATGTCATCATGTATTAAAAGTTACTCATCGTATACCAAAAAATATTACTGTTTTATATAGAAAAATGTACGCCATGTATTAAAAAACCATTCTCCGTGTATGTGTATTAGAAAAATATTCATTGTGTAATATAAACAATTATCATGTATTACTGTGTTGTTTGTTGTGTGTTTATAAAATGTTCATGCATTTTCAAAGGCAACATTGGAGTAAAACCGCAAACAGATGGTTCAATGATCATCTCTAGAGAAGAAGGGAGTGAGACAAACGGCAATATATTAATGCAACACAACATACGGGTGAGGGCCTTTTATAGAATGAGGATGGCTGAAGAAAAGGGTGGGAGATAAGAACATGAAAGAAAGGGTGGGGAAAATGTGGCGGGAGAGGCAAAGTGGGAAAATGTGGTGAGAGAGAATGGATGAGGAAAAAGTGACGGGAGAGAAATGGTGGAAAAGAGAGAAAATAAAATAAAAGAAAGGAAAGAAGAAGAACAAATAATGAAAGAATACATAATGAAACAAAAATATTTGCCAACTGCTATTTGTTTGGCACTCGAAAACACCTGCCAAGGGGCTGTTAAAAAAAGAAAGCTCTTCCTTGAATTTACTTTATTTTTATTCCTTTTTCTTATACTACCGGGGGGAAATGAAAATATAAAACATCCGCCGAGTACCGCCTAAGAGCATCTACAAAAGCCTTTTGATTTGCACTCAGTTGCTATTTTAGCAATCTTGGCAAAAAAAACCTCCTCCAACAGCCTTTGTATAAGTGGTCCCCATCAAAATTTTACAAATCTTGCTAAAACTAGCCTCCCACTTTGCATATTTGCAAATCCATCTGCCACTTGCTAAATTTTTAGCAAGCCTTTTGTAAAAGTGGTCTCCTTCATATTTTTGTCTCAATGACTAGTGGGCCAGGGTGTGATGTGTATGTGTCTGTGTGCTGCGTGTGTGCGTGTATATGTGTACACGAGTTGTGCTAGTATTATACATATATGTATGCTAGTGTGTGTTCTGCTACTCATTTAGTTTTGTCGGGTCGGTATGTACATGACTTGTACTATGATCCTTATGATATAAATGAGACACTTATATCATGCAAAAAAGAAAATTAAACCCCGATGTCATTGTGTGTTTTGTGCAAGTACAGCAATCCAATATACAAAGGCTATCAAAGCAAAAATACATGTTGGCTTTGTAAATCCTTTCTCTCCTTTTTCCTATCACTGATTTTTAGCAATTTAATATACAAAGGTTGTTGGAGATGCTCTAACAGGAACTCCGAAAAGATATGGTAGACTGGTTCCATTCATCTAGTGCATACAGTCATGGAAGCTACCAAGAAATGCTTGTAAGTTGTAACTCAAAATGATAAGCAACTAAATGCGACCATCTCAAAACGGGTGCAGCGTTTAGGTATAGGTCTCTAATTCTGACCACGTTCTTAGTTGTCACACCAAACCTGCAGCTAAATTGTCACGTTCTGAATGATGGGAATTAGCAGCGTGTTTAGCTACGCACCTTCACATGGTTTAATTTTGTACATGCTCTCAAACCTCTGGCTGCTAGGGTTTGGATCCTAGCGCTTAATTAATTTTGGGTTTCTGCGGTTTGGGCTGCTGGATTAAGTTGATCTGACTTGGTCTTATATGAAGCGATTCCAGACGCGGCCGTGGTATTGATAGCCTTGACCTTGAGACGGCGATCGACGCCGGCGACCGGTATATATAGAGATATGCAGCCGCGCCGGAGGTACACAAATATATCTTCACATCACAGTAGAAAAATATGGCGCCAAGAAGGAGCAGCGCAGTGGCCGTCACGCTGGTAGCTTGGCTACTTGTGCTCCAGGTACTAGTCCTGTCGCCGGCGCCTGCTGCGGCGGCGCCGGCGAGGGTCTCACCGGGGGCGTTCAAGCAGGTGTACACCTTCTTGTTCAAAAAGGCCGCCAAGTCGGGCACGACTGCGCTGATCAAGAAGCGACGTGGCAACCGCAACGGCGACCAGCTGGGTAGCGCGGCCGCCGACAACGCCGGCTACGTCGTCCTCTACAACGTCTCCATCGGGGCCATGGCGACGCAGCAGAACAACGTCTCCGGCGTCGTGGACGTCCTGAATGACTTCGTCTGGACCACGCGGTGCCCGGCGGCGCCGGTCAGGATCCCATGCGCCAGCCAGACGTGCCGGAGCGTGATCAACACCACCGATGCCTGCGGTGGCGGCGACGCCAGCTGCGGGTACGTCTACATGTACGGGCAGGGTATCAACACCACGGGCTTCCTCGCCAACGAGACGGTCGGCGTGGGGAGCATCGCCGGCCGCGCGTTGTTGGGGTGCAGCGCCAATGACAGCACGCTGCCCCTCGACGGCGAGTCCGCCGGCATCGGGTTCAACAGGGGCCCACTCTCCCTCGTGTCGCAGCTCAGCATCTCCCGGTTCTCCTACTTCCTGGCAACCGACGAACCTGGGAGCTCCGACTCCGAGAGCGTCGTGCTCCTCGGCGACGCCGCCGTGCCGCAGACCAAAAGCAGCCGCTCCATGCCGCTGCTCCGGAGCACCGTCTTCCCTAACTTCTACTACGTCAAGCTCACCTCCATACAGGTCGACGGCGTGGCCCTGAGCGGCATTCCCGCGGGGGCGTTCGACCTCGCAGCCGACGGCAGCTCCGGCGGGGTGGTGACCAGCACGCTCTCCCCCGTCACCCTCCTCCAGGCGGCAGCCTACGATGCGCTGAGGCAGGCCTTGGTGAGCAAGGTAAGGTCGGAGCCCGTGAACGGCTCCGCGCTCGCCGGCGGCGCCTTTGACCTATGCTACAACGCGCAGTCCGTGGCGGCGCTGACGTTCCCCAAGATTAAGCTGGTGTTTGACGGCGGGGATGCGCCGGCAATCGAGCTCACGACGGTGCACTACTTCTACAAGGACAACGTCACCGGGCTGCAGTGCCTCACCATGCTGCCGACGCCGGCAGGTGTACCATTCGGCTCTGTCCTGGGAAGCATGGTGCAGGCGGGCACCAACATGATCTACGACGTCGGCGGCGAGACGCTGACGCTAGAGGAGGGCACGGCGGCGCCGGCGCCCTCCCAGGTATCGCTCATGGCGATAGCCCCTCTGCTCCTTGCTTGGGTACTCCTCTTCTAAACGGTCATCTCATATTTTACTGTTCCATATTCTTGCATTGTTTCACCAATGTGGTGTATTTACTTTTTATAGATTGTACAATCAATGTTGTTTTATGGCTAAATAAATATGTCATGTAATTGTGTTTGTAAGATGCTTGTGCCAGATTAAAATGAATATTAAATATTACTACCTCCTTGCCGGTTTACAGGCCTTACCTCAAAATTTTGTTTTTCCATTTTATGAGTCTCATTTCTATTGCTCTCCATCACACGCTCAGATATCAAGGTGCATTAAATCATTACATGCGATGATTAACAGAAAACTCACCAATGCATGTAACACTTCTTGTTTATTTATTGGCCATGCATGCATGCATTACAATTAATGTATTGATAAATACATCTTATTTTTTAGGAAAGCGAGCGCATTAATTGAGTACTTCTGCAAATTTCAAACATTATTCCATCATGTATCATCTCTGCTCCTGGTTGGGGAGTTGGTAGGTGGTATCGTGGTTTCCTACCCCCACCCCGACCTCTATCGAAGGGAATCGTTCCCCCTTGCGACCGGCACTCCATATAGCCCATAATGACACAATCATCAAGTTAAACTCATCATGTGGCGGCGACCCCGGACCCCCTCATAGCAAACAACTATCCTTTTTGCACTTGGTTCATGATTCAGACACATGTGTTGCACCATTACCATGTTGGTTTTCCTAAAAAAAACTCGTGGAGAAAACCCACATACTACTTAACCTACATGCGCCTCTTGCGAGACAAAACGACTGGTCGACTTAGGCAGCCTCAGTAAGTCGGCCAGCCAGTAGGTCGGCTTTGTTTCGATCGATCAATTTATTTTTATTTTATTTATTTTTTATATTTAGAAATATTCTAAATATATACAAAAACTGCTCATGACCTCTATGAGAATATTTCATTTATAAAAAAGACAATATTAATGGAATTTTTTAATATTTAATAAAATGTATTTTTTTACATAATTTGAATATAAACGTTTCATGACATGTAAAAAAAATTAGTACAATATAAACAAATGTTTGCATATTTTTCAAAAGAATGATCATGACATTTGAAAGAATGATCACATCTTCCAACAAATATGTTCATGGCATTTTTGGAAAAAAATTGTATATAATGCAAAGAAATGTACGAGTGTTTTAGAATAAAAACCATTTACCATTCAGAAATGTTCTCGCATTTCAGAGAAAATGTTTGCCACATTATAGAAAAATGTTTAGGAAACATGAAGAAGTGTCTGTGTAATTTTAGAAAATGTTTCATGATATTCAAAAAAATGTGAGAATTGAAGAAAACTTCACCCCTTACAAAAATATGTTTGTGGTATTTTTTTAAATGTCTATACAATGTAGAAAAAATGTTAACCCTTTATGTGGAGAATGTTTCAACATGTACTTGAAGAGAGAATCCACATGTATTTCCAAAATGTTGAAAAAACGGAAAAGGGGAAAATACAGAAAAGAAGAGAAAAACAATACGCTACGGTAGGATGTTGATGAAGGCCTTCATACACACCAAAGCCCAAAATCCTCCTGTCGATCCAGCCACCAACCCTACTCCAGTCCCCTCCTCTCTCAAGCCACTAGCGGCGGCCACCGGCTGCTCCCGGCGACGGCGGACTGAGCAGCTCCCGGCCTCCCCTTTCCCAGGCCACCGGCCTCCCCTTCCGCAAGTCGCCGGCCTCGCCTCAGGTCGCCAAAGCCCTCGCCTTAGCTCGCGGCCTCCCCTTTCCCAGGTCACCGTCCTCTCCTCAGGTCGCCGCCGTCCTCGCCCCACGGCCCTGCTCCAGCAGCACCCGATAACGAGCTCAGCCTGCACACATCGCAAGGTAAGCTTATCATGTCGCTGACCATGGCAGTATGGGTTGATGTCAGTAGTATTCAGTTGATTGTTCTTTAACAGTGTGGATTGCACATTTTTCTAAGGCTGCAGACAGCATAGACTTGGAGGTTGGGGATCAGTAGGATTTTCTCAGGTCTGGTGGCATCATGCCATGTGAATCCAACTATGAGTTAGAGCCCGTTCGGATCTCGTCTGGCTTCCAGATTCCAGAGAATCGCGAGAGAAGCCAGCCGAACAGTTCAGATCCCGGAATCCAGCTTCTGGAGAACGGGCAGACCTGCGTGCAAATTTCTGCAGCAGCTATCGCCCAGCTTCGCGAAAAAGGGAAGCGGGAGTTGCTCCAAATTACATGTACCTGCCATCCCGAAGTGCTACAGCCCACCGAGCGAATCGTTTTTCTATCGCTAAAGCCCCGCATGATCCGTTTTCTCCCAGCGAATCGTTTTCCTATCGCTACAGCCCACCAAGTCAACCGAACGCTCGCCCAGCTCCCGCGAGAAGCCAGCTCGCCCAGCTCAGAATCTGGCTCGTTTGGGAAGCTGGAGAGCTTCCGAACGGGCCCTTAGAGCCCGTTCGGATCTCGTCTGGCTTCCAGATTCCAGAGAATCGCGAGAGAAGCCACCCGAACAGTTCAGATCCCGGAATCCAGCTTCTGGAGAACGGGCAGACCTGCGTGCAAATTTCTGGAGCAGCTATCGCCCAGCTTCGCGAAAAAGGGAAGCGGGAGTTGCTCCAAATTACATGTACCTGCCATCCCGAAGTGCTACAGCCCACCGAGCGAATCGTTTTTCTATCGCTAAAGCCCCGCATGATCCGTTTTCTCCCAGCGAATCGTTTTCCTATCGCTACAGCCCACCAAGTCAACGGAACGCTCGCCCAGCTCCCGCGAGAAGCCAGCTCGCCCAGCTCAGAATCTGGCTCGTTTGGGAAGCTGGAGAGCTTCCGAACGGGCCCTTAGAGCCCGTTCGTATCTCGTCTGGCTTTCAGATTCCAGAGAATCGCGAGAGAAGCCAGCCGGACAGTTCAGATCCCGGAATCCAGCTTCTGGAGAACGGGCAGACCTGCGTGCAAATTTCTGGAGCAGCTATCGCCCAGCTTCGCGAAAAAGGGAAGCGGGAGTTGCTCCAAATTACATGTACCTGCCATCCCGAAGTGCTACAGCCCACCGAGCGAATCGTTTTTCTATCGCTAAAGCCCCGCATGATCCGTTTTCTCCCAGCGAATCGTTTTCCTATCGCTACAGCCCACCAAGTCAACCGAACGCTCGCCCAGCTCCCGCGAGAAGCCAGCTCGCCCATCTCAGAATCTGGCTCGTTTGGGAAGCTGGAGAGCTTCCGAATGGGCCGCCCGTTCGTATCTCGTCTGGCTTCCAGATTCCAGAGAATCGCGAGAGAAGCCAGCCGAACAGTTCATATCCCGGAATCCAGCTTCTGGAGAACGGGCAGACCTGCGTGCAAATTTCTGGAGCAGCTATCGCCCAGCTTCCGAAAAAGGGAAGCGGGAGTTGCTCCAAATTACATGTACCTGCCATCCCGAAGTGCTACAGCCCACCGAGCGAATCGTTTTTCTATCGCTAAAGCCCCGCATGATCCGTTTTCTCCCAGCGAATCGTTTTCCTATCGCTACAACCCACCAAGTCAACCGAACGCTCGCCCAGCTCCCGCGAGAAGCCAGCTCGCCCAGCTCAGAATCTGGCTCGTTTGGGAAGCTGGAGAGCTTCCGAACGGGCCCTTACTCTCCAACTATCATCACAAGTTGCAATTTTCAGATTAATTGTGATGTGGCACCATGCGATTCAGGCAAAAAAAATTCAAATTAATTGCTATGTGGCATCATGCCATCTTACAGAACTGCAATGCACGATTTAATGGGTCCATTCCTTTGGCAAAAATGCGATGTCCTACAAATCATTATTGGCGTGGCCATGTGGCATCATGCCATCGTGCCATATGTTAAATTGATGTCTGATTGTATGTTTTTTTATTGATTTATACTGAAACGCTAAATGGGGCTTAGCACGCTGTAGCCGTTCCTAGCTTCCGGCCAAGCCCGCCGCTAAGAGGCTTTTTTTTTGGAAATGGAGGCATGCCCCCGGCCTCTGCATCATGATGATGCATACGGCCCTCTTATTAAAAAACAAGAAAGTGACGTCATGATTGTCTTACAGCTCGCAAACGAAGCAAAACAGAAAACAAAAACTGGAAAAATACAAGCTGGCAAAGACAAGCGAAACGGTAAAAATAAGGATAAGCTCTCTAGACTCCTATCCTATTATGCGAACACCATCCGAACCGGTTGAATATACCCCGAGCCACCATCTCCCATTGATTGCACCCAGTAACCAAAGGCTCCCTGGAGTCCATAGGAGTGAGTAAGGACCACGTACGGATCCAAGCTGTAGCTCTGAAGATAACCTGCAAAAAAGTTAAGTTGTGTCGTTTGTTAAAAATCATATCATTTCTGCAGTTCCATATGACCCATAATAGTGCGCATATTCCAATCCGAATACGAGCTGCCATGTTCTGTTCAATCCCAGCTAACCACGTCCCAAACATAGACGCAATATCTACCGGAGCATTGATATTAAAGGCTATATGAATCATTCTCCAAAGTAACTTGGCAAGTGGGCATTCAATAAATAAATGTTGTATTGTCTCATCCTGAGCATAAAAACAACACCGCGAGTTTCCTACCCATCGCCTCTTAAGAAGGTTGTCCTTTATGAGAATAACTTGCTTGTGAACAAACCACATAAAGATTTTAATCCGCAAAGGAACTCTAACCTTCCAAATATGCAAAGACCTTGAGAGGGTCCAGAATTAATCAAATTCATATAAAAAGATTTCACAGTAAATATCTCATTTTTAGTTAACTTCCATTTTGTTGAGTCCGGCATGTCGGAGAGTCGAACTTCAATCAACCTCCGAACCAAGTGCATCCAGGCTGTCCACCTCTCACCCACTAATGTACGTCTGAACTGGATATTCAAGGGGATAGTTTGAAGGACTATACCTACGTACTCCTCCTTACGTTGCACAATATTGTAGAGGGTAGGATATTGTAAGGCCAGAGGCGTCTCTCCTAGCCACGTATCCTCCCAAAATCTTGTTGACATCCCATTGCCAACCAAGAATT